GAGCAGCCAAGATCAATTTAAGTTCAATGAATTTGAAGAAGAAACCACCATGATTTTATTTGCCAACTTAATTATTATCGCCTAAGGAATTTATGAAAAAGAATGGCTTTTCAATTCGAAATCTGCGTTCCTTTTTCTCATAAAAGCATCAAATTTATCTTTTAAAATATTCATTCGATTATTGCGAAAATCGATCCTAAAAAAAAGTTTGCTTTTATTATTCATTAACGAATGGATGTATATATACGTGTCGAATTAAACGAATGCGAAAAATTAAACGAATTTTCAACAAATAAATGGTCAACGCTCATATGTTCTGGCTCCGCTAGCTGTTGACACTATTAGAAATTTTTGTGCCAAATTGGCGATAAAAGCACAGGCATATCGTCAACACCCTCATATCTTTTGGCGATAAGCTTAATGTCGACAAGCCGTACCCTGTCCTTCAAGGCAATCTGAACCAATTATCCACTGTGCCTACTAGTCAGTGCTTTTCTTCCACAGTATTAATTTTTTTCCTACCAAACAACAAATGTGAAATTAATGAAAAACAAAGTCTAAAAAACAGATTTATCTTTGGCACTTTTTGTTTTTTACAGAGTTCAACAAACTTTTCAAAGGACATTACAAATCAATTTAAAATTTTATGCATTCATCAATAAATTTAATCATTTTCTCTCCTTATGATATTTTACAAATTCAATATTATACTAATTGTATGAATGCGAAAAATAAACAAAATTTAAGCATAATAAAGAAAAAAAGGCTAAATCCTAAAAAGTCCCAGAAAACCTCACTTAACCAGTTAATTATTTTAAGGAGATATATTCGTGTGTTGATGGCATAGATTATCGCGTTGGGAATCAGCGGTTCGCCTCAGACGTGCCATAAAAAAATCTAGGCAGCACAAGCTGTCTATCGTCAAATCACTTTTGTAGTGAAAATTTCTAGCAGTAATAACAACCAGTGGACTGTGGCTAACCTTAAATGGAAAGCACTAATTAGTTACTTATATTTTTTGTCCTTTCTACTGAATTTTATATAGTTATCAGTTATCTGACAATGATATTAAATTCATATGTAAATTTAGGTAAATACCTTGACCACAAAAAATTATGGATTTCCATTTTCAAGCTGAATCATTGAAATAGAGTGCTAATGAGAAATTCTGTAACATTATAGAAATAACGGTAGATTATCCAACAAATTGAATTTAAAAATCTAAAAATGCCGTGAATTTCAATATTTTGGGATTTCACGTAAGATTGATCAGCTCTAAGTAAAACAATGCGTTTATCATTAATCATTAATGAAAGTAGAATTGCTATTAACAATGATAGCATAAACTTCAACTTAGAGAAAATAACCCATCGTAATTTTTTAGCAGATTTCATTTTATATGCATTATAATCAGATGAGAATAGGCAATACTAAATTGTTTTTTTTCCAGAATAATTATAGGATCAGTTAGTGGACAAGATGCTATGATTTAAACCATGTGGATTCGATTCCCATCTTTTAATGGTTATAACCTATCACTGAAAGTGGATTTAAAGATGTTTGAAATCCACTTCCATTTTTGTGGCTCGCTACCAGTGGAGAAAGCCAAACCGGTAATAGTAAGTGCTATTAATAGAAGAAAAAAAGATAAGATCTGTTTGGCTTTCAGACCATATTTGCATATTTTATTTACTCAAAATTTATGTTTTTTATTTTATTTACCAATTTGAATATTCTAATAAAATCACAGCTCCTTGAAAATTACTTCGAATGCTTCTGCCTATCGCAGATCTGTCGATATTAGTGACTTGTCTACCTAGTCTATATAGCTTATCTATATACCTATTCGTGTGGCAAATTTTAAAAATAGGATTAATTTTTTTCCCATAATGTTGATTTAATAATATACACATTCATTAGGTTCAATAAATAAGACACCACGAATAGTTATGCTTAATCGGAAAATGGTTTTTTTTTTAAATTTGTTCCCTATCAGTGGAAATAGCCAAGTAGATAGACTGGTTAAATAATCTTCATGAAAATTTTAACTAAGCAAAAAAATAAAAATGAATTAAAGGACATTTATTTCCTACTCATCATGAAAAAAAAATCGCTTATTGATTTACGAAATAAGTAAATAATTATCATTAACAAGTAAGTAAATGGTGATCACCATTTCTGATTAGACCAACTCCATCGGCTGCTAGTACGATTAGAAATTCTTGTTAGAGACTCATTCGGTAGAAATACAAGTGGATTGCTACCATTCGAATTTTTTAAATAAAAGTCTTAATGCTTTTAGTTTACTAAAGTGAAAATTGTTAATTAGCCACTGAAGAGCAAGAAAAAATCAAATTTTTTCAGTTTTTTTAAGAATAAAACATTTTTTCATTCGTATGAATAATCAGATGCTTTTAAATTGCCTACTAACAGATGAACTTTTTTCTCATTTAAATGCCATTCCTAATTTTAAATTCTCGAAATATCCGTTTTAACCTAGTCAATTTTGATATTTAAATAATCTATTTTATATATATATATACATGTTATCTGTTGCTTTCGTTCGTACTTCTGTTCCAGCTGTCTAATTCTCTGGTGACGGATTTCTGAAAAGCCAACATAATTAGCCAAGGGAAAAAAAGAATATGAGTTCATGGCTCGATCTTATATTAAAATTAGCGATATCTCAAAATAATATCTCAAAATTTGGTCAATGAATGACTAATAAGAAAAAAACAATGGAAAATATTGAGCGTAAAAAATATATAAATTTTTAAAAATCTTTCTTTCCTACAATTTCATATTTCACACTTTAAAACCCAAATAAAACTCAACTATATGTTTTAGAAAATAAGGGTTATACTCTTAGATTCTAAATTTTCGCTTCATCATTTGGATATAAACGCAGCCTTCACGCCATTCGGTGCCGCTTTGAATTTTTGAATTTTTTTAAATTTAAGTTTTGGGCTTTACGCTCTCAAAAATTTAATCTATAAAATATGATTATCTGTTATTAAAATAAATCTGAAAGAAAGAATCAATTAGGCTTAATTAAGATTCGACAAAATTATTAAAATGATAGATTTTTATTTTTTTTGGAGTAACATTTAAAATAACATACGATAATATTTACTGTTTGAATTTTTTTTAAAATTCAGCATTTCATTTATTCACGAAAAAATGTAATTAGGAACGGTTGGAAATGAAAAGTACTACTTTTCAAAAATCAATTAAAGAAATTTAAAGTTAAAGAAACTAAAATTTGAAGCATCTCTTTGTAATCAACGGAACCAACCTGATCAGTAATGGTGCAGCGTATTCGAAGAAAAAGAACTAAAACCGCAAGCTATTTTGGTCTATTTCTATTTCTTGCGGCATCTTTCGTTTTCACGAAATATGATCAACTGAATCCATTCAATTTTTAATCCATTCATTTTTCATTGCAATGATCGCACCAAGCATTTTCCAAAATTAATTTTAGAAAATATGCTCTTGAGAACGTGGTGTGCTTGCTAAAGATAGTTGCAATATATAATAAACAGAAGGTATTTAAAAAGGTAAGTCTATGATACTCAGATAATCTAAAAATTTTCATTGTAGAAACTAAAAAATTTATTTTGACAAAAAAATTTGACTTGTTCGACTAATCTATCAATTTTTTGGATATATTCAGCTTTCTTCTACGAATAATAAATAAAGCTAAAGATTTTAAGTTAGTGTGAATAAAACTGAAAAATAAGTAATAAAAAATTTCTCAGCAATTCACCAAATTCTTTCTTCGGTTACACCGCTCACCATTTCTAATTTGGCTGGCTCTACAGGTTATTATAATATTTCTTCAGTAAAGAGTTATTACCTAAAGACCAACTGGGTTTTATTCCTCTACGATAGCTTAATCCCAATTGAAGTACTATACCAGATTACCGTTTCATCAATAATAAAAGTAAAGTTAGCAGATATAATAAAATTGCTTAGAAAGAAATAAAAAAATATATTCAATAGAAATCATTCAAAATATTCTTACCTTTACCTTTACCCACACCTTTTTGTTTCCAGAAAATTGAATGGAAATTGAATGAAATTGAATGAAATTAGCCGGAAAGTTTTGCAAAGAATTTTCGAATATTTCTTCAATTTCAGTAAAAAAATTAGATGAATTTATTAAATGTGTAAATTGTGCACCTATTTGTCGGAGTTCGTATAGTGACACATAGCAAAATTATAGACGAAAACAGTAAAATAAGAAAAATAAGTGGTTGGCACTCACTGTTTCCGATTAGGCTGACTCCGCTGACTATTAATTCGCTTAGAAAATTTTGGCAATAGATGTATAATAGATGTCTACACGTTGTTCGCAAGCACCACTTGGATCTTTTTATATGATGGGTTTAATTCTATCGAAGGCAAAAGCTTTTAAAATTCTCACAACAAATGTAAAAAGTGTCAAATAAAGTTTTTCTGGATCGAGAATACTTTTCGCTATATCCAATGCACATATCGAAACTTTATCGTAATAAATTTATCAAATTTTAAATTTATCATACTTCAAACGATGAAACATCAATCAAACATCTGGAATTCTTCGATGCAGCCGTTCTTTATCCAAATCCAATTCACCGCATCCAACTACAAGTTCGTAAAAAAAATTGGCTTCAATTTCTATTTTTGTCGTTCAACTTTTTTTTCATTTATTGCTGGAGTGAGCAATTTGTTATCGATAAAATTTAAACATAAGTCAAATATATATTCAGTCAATCTAAAGAGGGACATTAAAGATGGAACACCACATGCTGATGCTATGTAAAGACTGCTCGAGCAGTAACAAGCAACTCGGTGTTTTGTTAAGGATAGGTGCTCGAATAATAATGATAATAATGTTTCTTTTGTTTTTGGCTACTTGTTAGTTCTTCTTAGTTTAGCAACGGCCAGCTAGCTCCAGCCATAGGATAGGAATAAACTACGCAATTCTCTAGCAACTTTTAATGAGATGTTTACTGTAATCAAATGATACGGATCGAAACTATTAATGCTTGTGAGCTTAAACTCGTAAGAAATATAGCACGCGACCGATTATCTTTTGGTTTCGGGATTAAAATATTCGTATAATAGGCAGATATAACCGAAAATTCTACTGAACGTGCAAATATCGTCGCATGCAAACACACGCCATCCATACATGTGCACACATATCTCCATAGCATAAACGCACCATACACACACACACACACACAAACACGCATATAAATACATACATACTATAATATAATTTAACAACTTCTACAATATTTTTTAAAATTTATTTTAGTGCATTTCTCTAAATAATAGATAGTCTTTTGTTCAAAACAACGATGTCTGTTAGCGTTTTGCCGATTTTGAGTTCGTTCATATTAAATTGGTTGGGGCTCGTCCGTTTGTCGTTTGCATCATCGATGTTTATCACTTGCCTTGCTTGCCTGCCTTGCCCAGCTTCCGCGTTCATTCCTACCCTGCTTGCCTGCCTTGCTTTCCCCTTTCATTTGCTCATTTGTATGTCCGTTCGTTCATTCGTTCGTTCGTTTTGGTTTTGTGTCCCGAATAAAAAAAAAGTACATTTGTCCTTTTTGCATTAAATACTATGTGAACTATGATGTCTAAGTACGATTATCGGCATATATTCTCATCAAAATATATGGAATTTTCATTATTTTCTATTTCTTTCTTTGCATTTATAATTGATAAAATAAAACAGAATTTTTGCTTAGGCCCTTTGCTCCGCCTTTATTGTCGAATGGCGGTCGAAAACTCCTCACGAATAAATACTATTCCACATTGTAACTATGAACCAACTAACGATATTCTCATCATCATTATTATCATTTATCAATATCACCAATCATTTGTTACTACCATCCTTCAATAATATCACCATTATTATTCAAGAATATAGTCTTCTGCTTATCATATTTGTTCAAAACTTACTTTATTACCGAATAATTTATAATTTCATACCGTCCATCAGCAATATCACTATTATTATCCAAGGGCCAAGAAAAAAAACTTTACCATTGTGTCAAGATTAGGTAAAGGCTATTTGCTACAATAATACCTACAATACCAACAAATAATTCTTCACGGAAGAGAAAATATTATTTTCTCTATTGGCTATTCAGTTCCTACAAATCAGGTACTTAAACAATATTGCAATATAGATTTATATGTCTAAGCAAAATATTTTATTCTGGCCGCTCAGATAATGATTATGTGATTTCTGCAATACACCTTTTTTTCCATTTTAGTTATAAAAAACGTGCATTATACTAGTATCCACAATAATAATAAAAATAATATTAGTGATGACAATATTATAATAACGTATAGTATTAATAACAGCAATAATAATAACAATATAGTAATGACAATACTATAACAATAATAATAGATAAAAATATTAATAGTATAGAAAAATTTATAGTAATAATATTGAATAATAATAGTAATGAATAATAATAATAAACAATAAGCAATAATAAACAATAATAGTAATAATGATAAATAAAGTGATGAATAATAATGATTAATAAAAATAATAGTATAATAATAATAAAGTTAGCAATAATAATAATGAAAATAGTGAAAATTACATTCGAAAAAATTATTTTATTAGATAACTATAGAATTTTTGCTTTATTTAGCAAAATGCCTTATTTGTTTCCTAAATTTATCTAAATTATCTAAATTCAATCATTTTTTTGAAAAGTAGCCAACCATTGATCAGTAATCATTGTGTTTATTATTTTTGTTATTATCAATATTTGCTATTATAATTTTAATTTTGTTCCATTCTATTTAATTGCTACATGCCTTGCAACGTCCTTTTATGTGCGTTTTTTTGTTCAGTATTCAGTCGCTATAAATTATTATTGTAAGCTATAGATTCTTCAAAAAAATTGTTAGGCTAGATATTGATGGTAGATCAATATATAAGTAGAATAGCCGAATGGTCCTTGCCCAGATCTCGGTCATCATGCTCCAAACCATACCTCAAGCAGAAATGAAATATCATTAAAAAATCCTGTGGCCCGCTTCTTTCATTAAATGACTTCCTAACGATTTCTCATTTTCTCATCATACTAATAGATAAAGGATTAAGGTTCTTAAGCATTTATTTCAATTTCTTACATATGAAAAATGAATTTTGGCAATAACTGATAATCATAAAAAAAGAAAAAGAGACCAGATTTTGTTCATTTTTTTAATATTAATTTATCAAATTCAACAATGGTTCCAACAAAGCGTTCGTTTACTTTGCTGCGCTTCCAAAGAGTAAAGTAAAATAAGTTGGTAAAATGGTCGATAAATGGTATGGTATCGATGAAATATCTTTTTACTTATTGTTTCGCAAACAAATCATTGGGAAATAAAATAGCTGACGCTGGTTCATAAAATTTTTTTTACTTCAGCAAACAATTGATTTCATTCTAATCTGAATGGACTCTTTGGTTGCAATGAAATTCAGAACATAGTAATTTTTTCTGGAACTGTCATCCTTTAAGGGATAATATAAATATCTATATATATATTATATATATATATATATATATATATATATACATAAAATATAAAAATAAAGATATATAAACATTTAATATATATTTATAAATATTTTATGCTTATAAATATATGATGTATATATATATATATATTATATATTATATAATAATATATTATAATATTATATTATACATAAATTTAGATATCACTCGGGATATACAAGAAGCCCAGGCGTTTGCCATTATCGGCATGACAGGTTCTCGGTCTGCCAAAGAGTAGGGCAGCACGAACCAACGACACTCGACATTGTCCGAGTGGTTAAGGAGTTGGACTTGAAATCCAATGGGCTCTGCATCAATTTAATTAAAGCTTTCCGCGCACAGTGCGATATGAAATATGTAATATCCGCGTTAAAATTCTATATCCAATGTTCCAGTAGCACTTATTTAAATAAATAAGTAAATAAAAGATTCTCAGACATAATTTACGATTAGCCATTTATGGGCTGATATTCATTTCGGACAAATAGGATTAACAATTTTTCAAAGTTTTTTCGACTAACAAAATTAAAAAATTGAGATATTTTTAAATTATTATTAGATTCATGATAATTGATGCGATTGACAAATTGACAAAAGTGATAAATTGTTAAATTATAAGTGGTAGATAGTCGAAAATCCATAGTCAAAAACTGGATACTTTTTCAGATATTCATTGGATTTTTTCAACCATCACATTTGCATTTTGCAGGCGTTGACCATTATTACTTCGACGTTCTTATAAAAAAATTTAATATATAATAAATTCAACTTTTTTAATATATTTATACAAATCTCAATATTTCAAATCTTTTAATATATTTATACGTTTATAATTGTTATTGGGGGTAGAATGGCTCAGTGGATTGTTGCTCAATTCGGAGCGCTGATGCTGAGGTTTTACACCCGGCAGTGAACCTGTCCAAAAAATTCAAGTGATGCTGACTTACCTGCATCTTTATCGATGAAAGACTCCCTGGCATTAGTCTAGTGCGGCAAGCAGCGAAATAAATCTAACCAGTAGTGGTACGGCTTTTAAAAAAAAAATTATTAAATAATTATTATAAAAATAAAATATAAAGAATATTTATGATATTTAAAATATATAAAGGTCATGTTGATGACCTTGTCGAAATCATTTTATATGGTTTTAAGATTTATATGAATATCATTAATGAAATTTCTGATGAAATTGATAATATAAAATATATTATAACTGGAATAATGCTTAAGAATATTAATGAACCTCTTTATTTCTTTTGTGACCTCTTATGATGAATAACTTACTATGAATTACTTTCTATTTTTGGCTTGTTATATATTTGAAAAATTTCAATGAATGGTTTTAGTTCGGTTCGGTTCGGTTCGGTTCGGTTCGTTCGCTCTTTTATCACTAGTTGATCCTTTGTTAATGCAGTAATCTAAAAACTTCCATTCGGATTAATTTTTTTCCATCTCCCTTTTTATTCATAAGATTAAAAGGTTCAATCTTTTCACCCTATCGCAGTTATTATGAATAGCATATTAATGAACAAAGATTAAGTTAATTTTCATAAAAGTTGGTGAATCAAATTTTTTTTTCCTTATTCCACAAACAAAAATTATTAAATTAAATTATTTCAGTAAACTTAAAAGTTGGATCATTCTTTTTTAAACTTATACTTCATTTACTATATTTCATATCTTAAAACTGCTCGCTGAAATTTTTGCCAAAGAATCGGTGGTGAAAGTACATGTGGATCACTGACCGTATTTTTCGATGAAAAATTTATTCGTGATAAAGTTAAGCTTTTTTTTCGAAAACTGTTATTATCAAATATATGAAACGAAAAATAATAATAAAAGTGGAAATCATTAAAAATTGCCATTAATCCTTGAATAATTAATTTTTTTTAATTCACAATTTTAATTTATGTGTATGTCTGTGTACACGTATGTATTCGATAAGTGATCTATATATGTGGAAATTTAGTAAGAAGTTTTTTGCGAAGGTACGAAAATAATTTATTTAAAATTTCTGAAATTTATTGATATTAAATGATGTAATATATATGAAAATACAAAAATAAATATTTTATATAAGAAAATTAGCGTGTAACATTTCTTGTTCCATTCACTATTAGTGCGTTAAAAAATCATTTGAGATAAAAGGACAAATGAGTTCTCTCGCAATGCATAGATTTTTTAGTGAAATTTGGTGAAATCGTCTATAGGAGGCAAAATGCAATATCTTAAAAAAATATCTTTTTAAACATATTATGAAGTGATTTTTGTCAATTTTAAAATTATTATTTTAATTATTTTCATCATATATAATAAAAGTTATCGTCATTATAATATATTTATATAGTATATAATTATTATTAAGTTCTATTTTTAAGTGATCTCCGGGAAAATTTGCCTAATCTGGCAGTCAAACCAAAAATTGCGAGTGCTTTTAGAAAAAAATTTTGTCGGTATTAATATTTTTGATTTCTTAAAGGTATTCTTTATATATTTCTCATTATATTTCTCATTTCTTCCTATCCTCTCATTTCTTCATATATTTAAAAAAAATTCCTTTCTCGCTCATGTGCGTGGCGTTATTTATCCTCAACCTCGTTACTTTGCCAGAGGCCTGGGAGATTTAGGGTTCTGCGCAATATCTTAGCTGCAGTTACAAGCAGTATTCCTGGAATCCATTAGTTTTATAGCTTTAAAAATCACAGCGCTTAGGTCACTCCTATTACCACTGGAACTATTTTGGCCTTCATTTTCCACATCTTCTGTAGTTCTGTAGCTCATCTTTCAACCCCTTGTTTTCTGGCTCTTCCACCACGATATTTGGTTGATTGGCCAATATTATTTATTTTTGCTCATTTTACTTTATTATTTGTTTTTGTTGCATCTTTATGCGATTTTTAAGAAAGAA